AACCGGCAACCTTCTTGCTGCGAGGCAACAATGCTACCAACTGCGCCACCTTGCAGCCCCACGTACACATTAAAAGCATAATAATCTTAAGAAATATATAATATTAAATATTAAAAACTGTGTCTTCGGGAGGGAATTAAGAAAGGTAATTTGTGCTCGATCTGATTACCTGATACCATTTGCAGTGTCTCAAAGTTGTCAGCAGTTTCACCAAACAGACCAAAAAGGTACAAGCATCCAGTGTTTCACATAAAAAAAGAAAATACTAGAGAAAAGTGTAAAATACAAACAAATTTGTGTATCAGAACTTTGTTTCTTTCGTATTCCTTTGCCATGAATCATCTCACAACTCCTCGGATTTATCTAGTGACCCTTTGGAAGATACAACTCCCAGAACAGCTGGTCTGTACCTTTACTGGAATTTTCATGCAGTATTTTAACTTAAGTTGTGATACGGTACTTCTTGCTAATGTCGAGTAAGTTCTATATAGTAGTACGGGCGAACATTCTGAGCGTGTTTCTGTGTGTTACAGTTCCAGGACGGCGTGTGGACCCTCAGCACCACCATCTGTGACGCTCTGATGACCATGGATGTGATGCTGTGCACCGCCTCCATCTTTAACCTCTGCGCCATCAGCATCGACAGGTCAGTGCTTGCTCAGGTACACACAGCAGATGAGGCCACGCTGCAAGAAAACAACAGCAGTCAGTAGTTCTGTTGTAAACGTTGAAAAGGCACAAACATTGTAAAAGTCATGAACTCACCAGGATCATCCTGTGGTCAGGAGGAATAGGACATGGATTTATTGTCAGACTGGAGAAGATATATTCATATTCATACATGCAGTGTCTAATATCTGTGGGACTGAACTACAAGCCTTGGAACCTCTTTCTTTGAAAAACTGCCAAAAGGACACCATTTATAAGAACAACAAACTGTATAAAAAGAAAGAATTGTCAAGATTTAAACTTTCCAGTGGTCCATGAACACATCGTGTCATAAAGTTCCACTGCATAAAATAAACAAAAAGCTTATAATTGTGATACTTCAAAATGACTTAATTCTACACATCCCATTTGTTTTAAAAAAAAATGCCAAAAATAAACCCTTTATGCGAGATCCTGTGCAATCATAAAAAATAAATAATCCAGCTCCTTAGCACATGTGAGAAGCCATGACTGACTTAACAGGAACCAACAGTCACATAGACAAAAATTAAATAACCTTCAGGGGAATTTCAAGTTGTGTTTACACAGAGCAGAGAGGAGATGACAGACGAAGAGGAAAATGAAATAGATGCTGCTCACCAACAGGATACAGAGGAGCAAGTTGTTTGAGGGTACATTCAGTATGGTGAAACATCTTTCTAAGGTTGATACACAGAGTAGAGAGAAAAAATGAATAATTTGTCGAGGTTGTAAAAATGTACATAGACATAGTCAAAAAGTAAATCCATAGAATGTGAAGCCCCCCTTTTTTCCCGTGTTGCTTATGTACATGGTGATTTCAGTTTTTCTTTTTCTTTAGTTCTTGTAGAAGAAATAATCAAAAGATTTTCACTTTCATTGGGGTCTTTTTAATGATTAATGCATTTTAACTGTGTCATAGTGCACAACATTTCTGAGTTCTCTGTACTTCTAGCCATGGTTGTGCTGTCTCTATGAAGGTGCAGGACTTTCTATTGTAGGGAAAAATGATCCCACTCTGACTAACAGTGTGACAGGAGCAAGCAGTGCGTAGGAACTGCTTGGGCATCAGAGATTAACGTTCTTCAGCATCAGCTTCAGTCTCAACCTCTGGTAGATCCCACTTAACTCAGTGACAAGGCCTATGTGGCAGTTACTGTTTAGAATGTTCTCCTTGTTAGCTGGGTATGTTTACATGCTATCAATTGCGCATGAAGGAAAATGTCATCAGCGAAGCAGGTATTTAAGTCGATAAACAATCTCATCTGAATCAGAATCAAACCAGAATCCGAAATGCTTTATTGATCCCCTAGGGGAAATTGCTACTAATGGACAAAATTGCAATTTCCCCAAAAGATCAAAGTAAGTGAAAAGTCAAAGTCTCAGAAACAGTACTACCTGGGAAGACGTGAGTGTATGAATCAAATTTCCATGGCAATTCATCCAACAGTTGTAGAGGTATTTCACCCACAACCTCATGGTGGGTTTAGAGGAAAAGTCTGGGAATCATCAAGTCAATAGGATTGATCCTATGGGAGCCATGAATGTCTGTGCCACGTATTGGTGCAAAATCATCCTGTAGATGGTGAGATATATGACAAGACAAATAATCTTTGAAATGCTGGTGGAGCTAAAGGCAAAGTCAAAGACTCCCTGAAGTCATTAGGATCCATCCGACATGGACATTCAGATTCAAAGTGAGAGCACAGAGCCGCTGCGTCTACGCGTGCCACCATCTAGATCAAATTCCAAGATAATCTATCTGATAGCTGTTGAAGTTTTTCAGTAAAGTTCAAAAGCTATTGAGCTAATCATGGAGCGAAAGAAGAGTCGAGGAATCACCAGAGTCAGTAGGATTCTTCCTTTGGGAAACACTAATAAATGAATGAACTTTTGTACAATCCATCCAGTTTTGAAATATTTCATCCTGGAGCACAGTGGTGGAACAATATTGTCATTTCAAGAGTTGTGCTATTAGCACAGAATAAAAAATATCATTTACATTTATTTGAAAAAATACATTTAAGAAAGCCAGCTGTACTCTGGGTCTTTTTTAGGGTTTCAAAGGCCATAATCATCATTCCCAGAGCTGACTGAATTATTTCCCACTAGAGTTGTTTGGATGATGGTGAGTTTTCGTCAGCGAGAGTGAGGAAGATGCAGATGATTCTGCAGCCAAAGACACCCTCGATCTCTTGCAGGAAGAAGTCAAAGTTCAGCAATAACTCAGAGACATCGTGTCATAAGCAGTTTTAATTGGCCTCATGTCAGGGTCATTGAGGAACATCAAGCTGGTTAATCAAACCAGAACCCTGAGTGATCTGTCAGGGACACAAAGGACACCATCTGATCTCCATCTGAAGGTCGGCAGGGTCAGACAGCCATGCCATGATTCACTCTGATGTGGAAATATGACGACGACCTTTTGTCTGTTTCTAGTAAAAGCTCCAAAAGAAGAAAAATCAGAACAGACAGGACAATTTAAAGCCCCAAATGAAGGACGTGTCAGCAGTGATGAAATGCCAGCTTCGCTCTGTGCTTGTTAGTTTGGCTCAATGAGATTATCTAAACTCTTGGCTGATGTTGAAGGATGGAACTCTTAGCTTTAAACCCGGACTGCTCCTCAAATCTGATGTCCCGGCTCCAGAAAATATGATTACGTCAGAAACTGATGGGGAGCAGTGAAGCTAACGTGGACTGATGGTGATGATCTGAAGCTTTTTGAAGCAGCCAGCAACATTTAGACACTTAACTGGGTGACAGAGTCTGAATAATTTAAGAAGACTGGGCAGGAAACAGAACCTGAAGGTCTGCAGAGAGTCCACCTGCTGCTGATGTTCACAGACTGAAGAAGAAAATCTTGTGGTCTTGCTGGTTTTATCAAAAAACTGACTGATTACCTGCTGTCATTCATGCATGAAAGAATGACTTTACAGGTCCAAAGGCTCAAGAGGCTAGCGGGCGCCTGAGCCAGAGCTCTGAATGAATTGACTGTTGTTATTATTCCTTGATGGAAAGTCCAAAGGATCAGTGAAAAGTACACTGAGGAGGTTTACACCACTCCTATCTGTCTATTACACATGACAGTCAGCAGCTGATATCTTAGCTTAGCATTAATCTGGATAGAAGTGTAGAAAAGTGTAGAAATCTGAGGACTAAAATAAGAAAACTATAAATTAGAGCATTTTTTTAAGTGGGACCAGTAACTTCCAGGAGCAAGCTGGCTAACTGGAAACAGCTCAAAAGCAAGATTTAACCGGACATCGCCTACATGTTTGTTTTTTACACCGAGGTGCATTAGTCTAGATTTAATAGACAACATTCAAACTGTTGGAGTTTTAATTATATTTATTCAGTTTATTTTGATTGGATTGGTTGTTGAATGTTTTTGTATGCACAATGTTTTTCTTGTTTGATAGAAAATGAAAACTCAGTTGTTTGGGAGACTAGAGGCTTCTCTGTAGTGCTGCTGAACTCGCATCTACTGTAGCCTGTAACAAGGCATTTAGGGCACATCTGCAAATTGTGTTGTCTGTCAAGAAACAGATGTTCAGTGAGTGAGGTGTTCTGGAGTAGACACTTTTATTCATTGTTTGCCTCTAGGAGATGCTCTGAACTCATGTGAAGAAGAATGTTATTTGAAGTCTTATTTTTAGAGCAGATTTGTAAATTAGCTGGAGAGTAAGACAACATGGAAGTGAAAGCAGCACTCTGATCATTTAAATATGAAAGTTCAATAAGACTGTTTTGTCTCTAAAATAGTGGTGATAAATCATGATGTCAGTATTGATCAGAAAAATTGTGATTGTCATTTGGGTCATTATTATGCTGCCCAAGTCAGTTATGTGGAATTATTTCAGCTACAGAAAGGATGAAATTGACTAAAATCAGGTGCTCTGTCTGCAGCATCACTACACGAGGCAACATAGCTAGTTTGTTTAAATATATTATATATTTATTTAAATATTGTTTAAATATGCCACGAAGCTCTGGAAAATGAGTCAGGTCCAAAAACCCTCCAAAGCAAAATAAATCTTTTTTCATGTGAGAAAGGTTCCAAATGGGTTTCACTCAAAACAAGTCTTACAGCAAAATGCCATTGTTCAACCTTTTTTT